CCCCGACTCACCCGCAGTTGCAGCTGATCACACACTGACGGACTGAGTCCGCAACTTCCAAGGGATGTGTGATGGTGCATCTGTGGGTCAAATTCCTCCGGAGGAAATAGCCTCATTTTCCCCATTTTTTCTGGCACGTGTGACCACAACCTGACTCTTTGCGACCCCATGGACCACATCACGCCAGGCCCTCCTGTCCTCCGCTGCCCTCCGGAGTCCACTCAATTCCATGTGCTTAAGAACTGATTTGGGACAAGACCCATCGACACGGGGCTCTCCATGTCCATCTATATCTAATAACAGGATTCACAGGACAAGAACCACTAATAACAGCCTCTTAAAGTACTCCCCTTAGCTTCCAACAACAATAAGGATGCACTCTGCTTTTATACTTGTCGTGATCGCCGTTCCTCCCAAGTCCCGAATATCCGGTTGCCGTTGTGAGACCTCCTGCAGCTTTGAAACAGGCACCTCAGAACGCGAACGGGCTGTGTATTAAGGTCATACACCAGCTTACGTTCCTGGTTTGTTCGGTCGTGCGCACCCTCTCTCTCTTGTTGCTCACGATCCGTTCCAGCTTCCTCCCCGGTGCCTTCCGTTTCTCCACTTTATTCAGTCTCACAATCAACATCTGCTACAATTAACAATCTCCCCCATGTGTTTCCCATCCACCCCGTTCTCTAGTTGTGTTTTCCTGTTTCACGTGTGTCTCTCTCTGTATCCCTGCTCTCTGTGTCCCGGCCTCAGGATCTTGGCGGTGTCGGGAAGTAGCGGCCCGCTCGGTGTCTTCCTCGTTGGAATCCACACAAACGGCTGGTAAAGGTTCTCGTATTCTCACTCGAGCTCGTCCCCTTCTGGGTTTCGAACCAGGGTCTCCCTGGCCCCCAAATGCGGCTCCCGAACCCCGTTCCTCTGTGGGTGGTCTCAAAGAAGTCGGACAATACTATTATGCAAACTTTTTATTTGTTCCTTTTTTCCAGTGTCCAAAGAGTATCAGGTGAAGAAATAACACTTGGAACCCCACTATTGTTTCCAAGGTATACTAAGGCACAAGGAGGCCAGTATTACTCATATTTGTTTCCGGGTGCCCATGTTTTGTAACTTCTTCAGCATGTCAAGAGGATGTTGTTGTTATGTTTTTGAAACACAGTGGGGCTCTGGCAGTGATCTGAAGAGACGCTTCTGTCAGGCAGAAAGTACACGTTAGCCTATAAAAGCCATCCAAGTGAAGAGAGCAAGACTGTTGTCTAAGACTGCCCTAATCCTGCCACGGGTAGTAGATATTCATCGGCACCCTTCACCTTCAAACTGCCATCTCTCCGAGTCAAGAGTCCTTGGAGATACAGAGTAGTGAGTTGTTTTGCAGATATGGTGTCTCTTTGATAGCTCCTCTCCTGAGCAATCCCAGTTATTAGAACAAATGGTCCCCATTTACACACTCCTTTCATCTTCAAAGGGTTTATTAACTTAATTAACCCAAATCATAGTGCAGTTAAAACAACAATTTTCATGATATAAAAACACACGAGCCTGTTCCCCTCAGGAACTGGCAGAAATTTCAGTAAAGACCATCACCAGAGGTAGCAGAAATTCTATGTGCCATGAGTTTTCTTCCTTTGAAAATATGTTCCCTTCTTCATAAATATAATCTGGGAAGGGGACGTATAAAAGGAGGAAGGCTGTTTGTTATTACAAGTCCCACCATTACCAAGAGCTTAGGTTACTAACCTCCAGCTGGCACCTGGAGATCTTCCGCTGTTCCAATTGATCTCCAGGCTACTAGAGGAAATGGCAGCTTCAGAGGGTGGACTGTATAGTATTATACCCTGCTGAAGTCCCTCCCCACCCTGAACCCCGCCCTCTCCAGGCTCCACCCCCAAATCTCCACTTATTTTCTAACCCAGAGCTGGCACCCTACCAATAGCTCATTTTGGAAGGCAGAGCCCCACAGATTTTGGATTGATTTACAAGCCAGCCATAATTTGTGGTTACCCACCCACAAATAATCCATGATATCAGAGATCTTTTATAACAGTCTGTGCTTGGGAGCAGACAGAAGCAGTGAATTTCTCTGTTTGTTCCAAATCTCTATACAACAAGACAGAACCGCTCTTTCGTATTCTGACTTAAGAGGGGTAAAGCTGAACTTTGGCTGAACTTTGAAGCAGGCAGAAGCAAAACAAAACCCATGCTATAAAAAGACCCTTCCTCCCTTCTCCAGAGTTGAAGAAAGGGTAAGATGGAGGTTTCTCGTATTGTGCTACATCCTGCCACCCATTTTTATAACTACGTTATGTGAATGGGGTGAAACTCAAACATAAGGAAGGCATATTTGGTGGCAGCCTTATACTTCTCATCACATCTAATTGCAGTCAAATCCAAGAAGCAAAATGTGACCTCTATGGGTACTGCAGTTTGGTGAAGACTCTGATTGCCAGTACAGGATGCACAGTCTCCCGATTCTTTCTGGTATCCACCACCACTCCCAGTTTTTACAATTCATAGCCTGATAGTCACTGTCAGATAATACTGTCATGGTCTAAGCCAGGATGGTCTCCTTATACCAGCAGGGCTTCTGTTCTTTTAACAGTCACCTTACTAGCTGAAATTCAACTGGCAAAACCTTGGACAATCTCAATCTGGGTAGATGTTACAATAGGCAAACAGACAGCCCCAAGACATTTTGGCACATGACAAATGGTGCCCTCTCTCACCTTCCATGATTGATCATTTATCATCTGTTCACTGCATTCAAAATGAACTACTGAAGCAACCACCTCAGCGTGCTTTGGGATATTATGGAACAGTGGAAAACAAAAAGTGTAAGTATCTCCAAGCAGTCCAAGCACAACTACCTAGGAGGCTCTCAGAGACTCTCAAGTGGTAGGCTGAAAGCACCCCAGCAGGTGGTTGCATTCTTTTAATTCACTTGTAATTGAACCTTACTCAAGTGCACCAAGTTATCACCTTGCCCAAGAAGAAAACACTGAAGACAGGACTAATAGTTACTAATATGTGAAGTACGGAGGAACTAATATGTGAAGTACGGAGGAACTATTTTCAAAGTGGTCATTGCATGTCCTTCTTAAGTGCTGTGGTGACCCTGCTTCTCCATGAATAAGGAACCAACCACTTCGACCATTCAGTTGGCCAGTCTCTCCTGGAAGTTTGTACCAGCCAGGAAGGACAAGGTTCAAGTATGTTGGCCTCACCTGTCCAAGGATCAAATCCATATTCTCAGGTTGAAAAATATCCATCAGTATCTAACAGAAGCTATAGTACTATATCAAGGGTCCTCATCGTATTATCCATGATGGCTACATGAAACTTTCATTCCCTGCTTGTGGGCTTTGCAGAGGTTCCTAGTTGGGCAGATGAACTTTTGGTCTGACCCAGCAAAGCTTTTGTCATTTGTGAGGCATCACAGATTCACAATCCAGCAATGAGACAATGCTGAACAACTGAGCTAATGGTATAATCCTAAGAAGAGTTACGTTACTCCAAGACCATTGCTGACTTCAACGGACCCAGAAGGGTCCAACTCCGCTTAAGGCTGTGCTGAAAATCAGTTAAACCATTTTACCCTGTTAATTCTTACTATGACATTTGCTCAAAAGGCCAAATAACAGCATGGAATAGGATTCTAAAGCTGACCTCTAATTCCTCTTAAGGGTCAAGGTAGTTTCCAGTCAAGCATTTTTTTAAAAAAAAAATTCACCTGGTCTGAAGATCAATCTTGCCGTATGAGGAGGTGAGAGGTAGAGCAGAACAGCCGGATTGTGATAATATTGTCCCTACCAGCTTCCTGGCTTTAGCAAATCTCATTGGAACATGCAGAAACTTTATTTTTAGTTCAATTTTGTTGGCGTAAGTGGTGTTACACTGAGAGACCTTTACAATATTAAGCACAATCATTAGGGAAACATACTGCTGAGTGAATTTTAATTTGAATCAGCAATAAATAAATAAATCGACAAGATGGTGCCTTTAAGTCAAAGGAAAGGTGTAGCGTTTTGTTTTGTTCTGAAGGTGCAGTCTTCAATTTCATCATTTTTAAAGTGTGCAATAAATGCAGAATTTCTTGTTCCATCATTTAAACAGATCGCTGACCTTTAGCCTGCGATCCTGGTCTCCACTGCACAGAGAGTTTACGGACACCTTAAAGGACTTCCAGGCTGGGTTTAAATTATTCATCACCACCTAAGAATGAAAGAGCAGAAACAAACACAAAAAATACAAACATTTAGAAGTTTTAAAAATAAAAAACAAAGCCACAGACATGACTTGCAAATAATCAGGCTGATTTCCCCCCCAAAAAAGGCAAGGTTGCATTTAGAAATAATTAATGACAGTAGGTAGGCGTATTGGTTCACATAAAAATTCCAAAACGACAGCCATGCAACCAGTGTTCTCTCTAAGCTGAGTTAGTGTGAGCTAGGTCACAGCTTTTTAGCCTCTGGCTCATACATTTTTGTCTTTGCTCAGGAAGGATGGCTCCAGAGCAAACTAATTTATGCAGTAGCCAAATCACTCACTCACAATTTTAATACCAGTAGCTCACAAAGTAATTTTTGCTCACGAGACTCCACAGCTTAGAGTAACCCCTTTGTACCCCTTTAGAGATATTTAGGACTAACCAAAATATCATAGAAAGGCAAGCTTGTGAGTTCATTAGAATTCTTCATCAAATACAAAATACAAAAACAGGAGAGACAGAAAAGATTTTTCAGGTCATGGTAGGAAAGCCCTTAGTGTGTGGTTTGGATTATAGGCTGTCTTGAAGACTGGACTGAATTATGTGGTAAAGGGTACAAAATGGATTTCAGGATACACCAAGAACTAGTAGGCCAAAGGGAGAAGGAATGGCAATAATTAGGTACAATATATTTTGATAGTATTTTTTTGTGTGGTTATATGCTGGGTCAGTTGATATAACGTAATTAAGTTGGTTTAACATAATATTGAGCACACCACTCAATAGGCTATGGCTTTGATATTTGAGAATTTATTTTGCAATTGGGCTCCTTTCCAAACCTCAGTGGAGTCAGTGGGGATCTTTTGATTGATTTTCTTTGGCTTAGAACTGGGTCAGTCAAAACAAAAAAGAACACAACACAGAATGGGCAAATAGAGGCTACTGTTCATTGAAGTTAGAGTGAATAAATCTGAAATGACAATATGGGTACAGAAGGCTCATTTACTTTATCAGCACGTTTAGTAGTAACAGGAACAAAGCCCACTGCTCTCCTTATTAGGTGGGTACACAGATCAAAGCATATGTTGACTTAATGACTGCAGCCATGTTGGAGGGGCAGATCACATGAGAACAGGATGAGCGGATTTCCCCTGTTCCATTATTTTATCTTTATGTGCTCTGCTCCACTTTTCCTTAATTCCATTTTAATTATGAGAATTTATGAAGTTAATTCCAGAAATGGGGCACACACAGTTTGCCACAGATTCTATCTCCTTGAATTCATTTGTGTCTTCCCCTCTTCTGCATTACCGATGTGGACTGAGAAAACTTTGTAAATAAGACCAGGAACTTTGGAACTCTGAAATATGGGAGCAACCTAAAATAAGAGACGTTCTGGAAGTATCCCTTCATGGGAAGTTCTCTACTGTTACCATGGGTGCCTGTATTTGCATTTTTGTCTGTACTGACCTGGGAATTCCCCACATGGTCTACCCCTGTTGCAAGATTTCAAGTCACATGAACACTGCTGAAGGTATGGAGGAATGGTAACTAAGCTGCTATGGTAACATAAGAGCAGAAACTGAAGCCCTCTTCAGAAGTTCATTGATAGATTCAGTGAGTACCCATAGAGGAGAGCAGGAGCATGCTTCCTGGCCTGTCGCACCATGCCCATACACAGTGAATAGTGCAGAGGCACTCTAAGAGTTGCCAGCGGGCCTTGAGAAAATATCTTGTCCCTTTAATAGAGGCTTAACATGTGAAAATGGGTGGCAGAATAATAATAATATCACTGCATTAAGCCTCAATTAAAGGGACATGACTTTTTTCCTCTCCAGGCAGGTGGCAACTGTACCATATTTATAAACACACAGAGTCCTCCATTTCCTCAAAAACACCCCAGGAAGCAGGAATCCTATTGCATAGAGGTGCCTGCCCATGTATACATGTATGTATGCATGTGGGAGCTTGCTTCGACATTTGAGCTGAATGTGCAGACACTCAGGACTGGGACAGCGGTTGTGATCCTGCTCCCTTCAGTGACTACACATACAAACATCTGAAGAGGGTTTACATGAGAGCAAACGGGAGGTCATCATGAGGTTCATGGTAGACATGCTCTTGGGCTCTGAAGGCAATTGAATGCCTCTGGAGCTTACCTCCAGGTCCGGTGGCCCACCCAGAAGTGAGCTCCAAAGGCATTTTAATGCCATTGAAGCCCATCATTGAACCCCTATGGCTCCACCCAAGTGAGCTCTGAAGGCATCTAAATGCCTTCAGAGCCCACCTCCAGGTCGGGCTGGCCTGACTGAACTCCCAGAGTGAGCTCTGAAGGCCTTCAAATGCCTTCATATCTCAGTTCCGGTTGGGTGGCCTGACTCAGAAGTAAGCTCCAAAAGCATCTAAATGCCTTTGAAGCTCACTTCCAGGTGGACCAAACTCCCCGTACCATGAACTGGTTCATGCAACAGAGGAATTCATTGGAGGTTCATGGTTTGTGAAAACCATGAACCATGAGAACCTCCAATGAACCTCCATTTTCTGGTTTGTGCCCACCCCCCATGTAAACTAAAATTAGTGTTCCTCTTGAGCTAAAATGAGGACGCCAGCATTTCCTACATAGTAAGATTTGTGAGGAGGACGAATGTTTATCTGATGAGGATACAGATATAATATGTGAACCTAAAGTTGACATTTCTGGTTCTTCTGGATAATGGCTATTAATGGCCCTCTGCCTGTTTTAAGCCTAGACACACTGCTGACCATGAGTACTTGTGCAGGAACATTTTGGTTGCTATGTTACCAAAGCAGCTTGCATGCTAAAAATAATGATTTCAGAGCATTGTGGGTACCATAATACCACCCTGTTGTGGACGCAAGAGTTGTATGAATTGACATGCCAAAGAAGGTAGACTGAAAAGAGGGGAAAAATCCTCTCACCACTTGCAGGCTAGACACTGAGCAGCATAACAGGAATCCCAGGATAATTTTTCTCAAGCGACCATGTGCGCAGAGAAATGGAGGGAAGAGTTGATTCCGCAGCCACGTGTGATATCATAAGCCCTACTTAACAGGCATCTGTGACACTTGCATAACTACGTTCCGCATAGCACTCCTGCTCTTGTGTGAAACTTTCAAAGACATATGGGGTTTGTTTTATTCTATTTTCTTCTTCAGAGGCTGGGTACTCATCCACTATGCCACAGAAGCACAGGACTGCTCACCTAAAACAGCACAAATGGACTATTCCTCTCCCAATGAGTGCCTTTCAAATACATATAACTTTTTCCTTCTTTTTTAAAAATAAAACCCCAAAACAATGGAAAAGTAGGTGTATGTTTTATAGGATTGCCAGGTCCCTCCTGGCCTCCGGTGGGGGACGGGAGGCATAGGGCTGTCAGCTCCAGGTTAGGAAACTCCTGGAGATTTTAGGGGTGGAGCCTGGGGAGGACAGGGACCTCAGTGGGGCACAACGCCATAGAATCTACCCTCCCAAGCATCCATTTTCTCCAGGGGAACTGTTCTCTGTAGTCTGGAGATGAGCTGTAATTCCCGGGGATCCCCAAGTCCCACCTGGACGCTGGCAATTCCATTCCTGATGTTTTACCAATGAGAGATTCCAATTTTCTAAAAAGCATTTAAAAGGAGTACAGCTACTCCTACAGCCAGGCTTTGCTGTAACTTAACTCAACAATAAAGTTAAGCTAATTGCCTTAGATCAGACCCTAATATCCAGACATAAACAATCTGCCTGCTGCCCTTCTGTCTTATTCAGTGTTGAAGCATTCAGCCTGATGAAGAGTTTGCACAATATTTTATGTCAATCTGCTTGGTCCTAATAAAGGCATTACATGGATTTCATTCTTGCTTTTGGATTTTGGATGAACCAATATGGATGTACAACTTTTCCTCTAGTCTTCAACGCTGCTCTCTCCTCCACTGCGTGGGGAAAGAGAACATGCTATTGGAGGTGAAGAGTTCTAGAATAATAAAATATTTTTTAAAATGGGGATCTTTTAACCACTTGGAAAGGCGATAAATTTACTCTCCATTACAGCTGGAGGCCCTTTGAGGTACTGCTTGAGTAATGCAATCCAAGCATAGGAGTTGTTCTCCTCCCCTCCAGTAATTATGGGCTACTTGGGAAAATTTTACCAATTCTGGTAGAAATACAAATTCAAATCCTGCCCCTCAAAACTCTCCCACACTGAGGAAAACTTTACCATCTGGTTTAGTACTTACCTCAGTCCTATGGACCAGTTGCTGTGTTGCATCGTCATTCATTCGGAAGATTTCCAGAAATGGATCTGATTTGCTGAAGAAATCCTGAAATGAAGACGTGAGGATCTTTATTTTCAAGTCCTATTGATTTTTATCCACATAATCCCAGGTTCCCATGCTGACGGAAATAAAAGTTTACCAGCATTAATTCTAAGCCTTTTTTTTTTTGCTTACTAGTTTTAGGATATAATGTCGTACCACCCTGTCGAACTTCCACCTGATACTGTCCAATGAGCAGATTGTGCCTGGGGTTGTGTTCCCTCCAGTAATTATGAATCATTTGTGAAGATCATGTCAAAACTGGTAGAAATTTAAAACAAATAAATGAACAAACACTCCCTTTTTGAGGAGAGCCGCACCTCTAGGACAGCCATCACGGGTCAACTAACTTTCATAGACAAAGAGGCAAAATATGTTAAAACTCAGACCAAGAGATCAATGAACAGCCAGTATAAGAAAGCCATGCGCATTACTGAAATTATATAACTTAATATTACTGATAATTGACATGGAAATTAATAATCCATAAATTTTCTGCTGCCCAAATACTGGTCATTATGAGTCTTTCATAGGGAGTAGCACACACAAGATCTCACCTTGAGTAATAAATATACAGAGGAGCACAACTGTTTTAGCGCAGAGGCATACATTGGTGCATGGTTCACACTTGGAGTACTGAACTTCACCTCTATCATTTCCAACTTTGTAAGAAGCCCTTAGCCCTATACAAATCCTCACTTGCCATATTCTTCACATACTAGAAAAGAGCAAGAGTCCAGCAGCACCTTAAAGACTAACAAAATATGTGGCAGGGTGCGAGCTTTTGTGAGTCACTGCTCACTTCTTCATATACAATTACATGTCAAGGCTCTTAATGGTCTGGCAACTATTATTATTATGGTATCTAAAGAAGTGAGCAGTGACTCACGAAAGCTCATACCCTGCCACGTATTTTGTTAGTCTTTAAGGTGCTACTGGACCCTTGCTCTTTTCTACTGCTTGCTGTTGTTCAGTCACAGTTGAGTCCAACTCTTTGCAACCCCATGGACCACATCACGCCAGGCCCTCATGTCTTCCTCCGTCCTCCTGAGTTTGTTTAATTTCATGTTCATTGCATCAATAACACTGTCTAACCATCTCATTCTTTGCCGTCCCCTTCTTCTTCTCCAGTGAGTGCTCCCTTCTCATTTGGTGGCCAAAGTATTTGAGCATCAGCTTCAGTATGGCCTTCTAGAGAACCGTAAGGGTTGATTTCCTTTAGGATTGACTGATTTGATCTCCTTGCAGTCCAGGGGACTCTCAAGAGTCTTCTCCAGCACCATAATTTTAGGCAGAATTATTATCTCCCTATTATTAATATATTGCTTCTGTAGAAACACTGCAAGTTCAGTCAGGAGACAAACCAGTTACCCTTTCTGTGGAATTTATTTGACAGAATATACATTTATGAAAAACTCCATAAAGTAATTACAGTTATATTTCTTTCTTTTTCTTTTTTAAAAAGACTATGTAATAGAAAAAATTAAAATATGTTTGGCCTACTCAAGAGTGACAGAATATATTATAAACCAATATATCGAGCCATAATTAAAATGAAAGAATACAGTCAGACTGACCCTGAGCAATCTGAATAATATGTTCAGCTTTGATAATTAGACTTTGCCATTGGAAAGGATGGAGGACTATGTTATATAGTTTTTTCCCAGAAGCTCTAAAAATGCATACTGTGAAGTATAATTATTTCTAAAGTAATGTTATAAGCACAACGACCAACATTATTACTGCTTAGTAACTATCCACATAATTCTTGCCAAAAGAAATATTTTTCTCCTTGTTCCAACTCAGAAGATCTCGGTTCATAGTGAAAGATGTTCTCAAAATATTTACACTAGCAAAACTGCATCTAATGGCATATTCAGCATTGATTTCATGGTACCAAAATGGGAGAAATTCTCTTTGCAGAAATAAACCACATGGTTCAGGATATTTTCATAACTCAGTATCAATAATAAAATGAGTTTATGTATCTAATGTTCATTTTTGTAGAATATTTGTTCTGATCATTTTTATTCCAGAGCTAAATGAACAGAAATGCATGCTTACAGATTTTATAAAATTAATAATATTTGTTGTTGAGAGATCCCAAGTTAAAACCTGGCAAGCATTCTACAGTTCTCCACAGAATTTGCTACATGGCACTGTGTTTTTTTTTAACAAATGCCTTCAGTACTGATAAAAATACCTTCTGGAAACCAAATTACCTTTATTATCAATTTTAGGTTTGCCATATTAAGAGAAATATGGACATACCACTGCTCACTTGATCAAGCTGTTTTTCACTGTGTTTGCCATAGGTCTGGTTTACTGCTGAAGTGGTTAATTGGGGTGCCAACTGGAAGGCATAAAAGGTTGCTAGGTCATTGTTTGGCACGTCCTGGAGCTTTAGGGGTAGGGGAAGCAGCAGATCCCTTGTTTGGCACCCCCAGGAGCTTTAGGGGTAGGGGAAGCAGCAGATATGGCATCATATGACACACTGTCAGGTCTAGGTGAAAACCCAGATGTGACATCATCGTGTCAGCCGACGCTCTGGAAACTCTATGGTTTTCACCAGATGTGATGTTGATACATTGCGCAATATCACTTCTGCCCCCACCCATTTCTCCCCCCACTGGCCCTAGAACAGGTGGGAGAGTCTGACCAGTGGGTGACTGCCTACCTGAAGTGCAGAAACTGCAAGCTTATAGGGGCACCATGGGGGAGGAGGCAATGGGTGTGGCTTGTGTCTGTCACCTCCCAGCATGCTCTGCCTCAAAGAATGGCAGAGTAACCTGCAGCCCTTTGGAGCCAGCTGTGGCACCCAGCAGCTCCCTTTTGATCCTCAGCTTGCCAAACAGTCTCACAGTACGGACCAATCTACAAACAGAGCATGTGAAGGTTCAGTATGGTAATCTCTCACACCAACCTCCAGGCATAATATCCCAGATATGACAGACACTGACAATTTGGCTACACTCTGCCTGATATCCTCAGCCATCATGGAAGCGGATCTGGACGCACCAGCTCTGCTCAGCAAACTAGTTAACTGTTTGTGTTGCTGAAGATATATTATTTATTCCTTATTTATTTCTCAGTCTTTCATTTCAGACAAGGCAGCTCATTTTTGCCACAGCATGTGACATTTCCAAAAGGGCAAAAAGAAAAGAAAAGAAAAAGTTGTTCCTTAACTGAATAATTTGTAAACAGTCAGTGACATTTTCCCACTTGGGGTGCAGTTAACATAATCTGTGGCAGAGATGGTACTGAGATGTGGTACACATTCCTATTCAGGTTGTGTAAAAAACTCAAGAGTTCATCCTGCTCTCCGACAAATGTACTACCCAACGTTTATTCCATCTCTAGCATGTTTAAAGTTCATGACCTGCTCAATAGTCCCAGCCAGTGTTAAAGCGAGGGTGACACGGAAATGGAAGGCCCGGACAGCACAATGTTTGCTCACTGAGAAATGAGAGACGGTTATATGACTCGGAAAGTAAAAGACGGTGTGAATTAACAGCCATTCCAGCTTCCAGAGCAGAGGGAGGGTTACTGTGAATGCACAGGGCCTGTGGTGCATTCTCAGAGTCCTGCCTAGTCAGGTAGTCTGTTCAGCACTGGGCATGTTTGTTTCATATAAGGAAGGATGAAGAACAAAGTTCCACCTTTGTTACAAAGCACCACTGAAACTACGGCTGCAGCAACGTATCCTTGGCTATTGTGATATTTTTTTGCCCTTTCATGGTCATTGGAAACTGGATTTTCCTGTGTGGAAAAGACAATCCAATTGCAAATGATTACTACAGCATAAAAATAGCACAATATCCAATGACGTGTGGCTGCAGCTTACGAACTGTAAGCTGGAGAGAGTTCTTTAAGGGGAAAACAAGGTTGCACTTAATGGTAACTGTTGCTCTTTGAGTAGTCTTCTGGGCAGGCACACATGCTCAGGCCGGCCATGGAGATCTCTTCTCTAAAGCTCTCTAGAGTGCTCATCCCCCTCTCCTCACGGGCCGGTTTCTTCCCGCCAGCTGACACATGATGGGACGGGCTGAACACTCCTTCCCCCAGTGTTTCTTGCAACCGTGAAAGAACCTCAAGAACGCGAGGAGGATCCTACAGTGGGGAAAGGAGGGAGGGATGTGTGCCTGCACAGAATACTCAATGAACGACAGTTACAAGTAAGTGCAACCTTGTTTTCACCTTCGTGGCTTCTGTGCAGTCCCACCTGGGAAAATAGCAAGCTGATTTACCAGTAGGAGGTGGGAGTGAGATCCTCAGGGAAATAAGCACTGCTTTCCCCACAGCTGCATTCTGTCTGGAATTGACATCAGTTGCACAGTGCATGATGAATGTCAACAGGGAGGTTCAGATGGCTGCCTTGCAGATGCTGTCCAAGGGGACACTGCTGAGGAAGGCTGCAAAGGAGGACTGAGACCTGACCAAGTGAGCCCTGAGATGGAGTGGGCAATCGACCTTGGAGGCAGAGTGCACCAATTGGATGGCTTTGAGAACTCAGCGTGATATGGTTTGAGAGAAGGTAGCTTGGCCCTTGCGGGAGCCAGCAAAGCAAACCAGCAGGTTGTCCTCCTTCCACAATGATGCAGTATGGTCCAAATAAAAAAAGTAATGACCTACCAACATCTAATGTGTGTAGGGTTTGTTCCTTGTCTGATGTAGGGGAGGGAAAAAACACTGGCAGAACTATGTCCTGGGAAATGTACAAGGTGGGCAAAACCTTTGGGAGGAAGTCCAGACTAGGGTGGAGTGAAACCTGGTAAAGGGCAGGGAAGACCAAAAAGCCTTGAGTTTTCCTACCCTTCAGGTGGAGGTGATTGCCAGAAGGAAGGCTACTTTATAGGAGAGGGACAAGTTGTATCTGGCAAGGGACTCAAAGGGCTTAAACATTAAACCAGAGAGCACCAATGAAAGACTCCACCAGGGAACAGGAAGGAGCACCAGAGGGTATAAATTAAATAAACCGGTGAGGAATTTTTTGGAAATCAGAGCCG